TGTGATCGTTTCTTTTGTTTTAGAAATAATCTATTGTGGAAAGGGATTTTCTTMWTKKTTYMWTRATCAGAAATGCAGAATTTTTGCATTTGAGAAAATAATGCAAAGGTTTTTGGATGCAACTGTACTGAGAATCAATTTATAGACCTCCATTTCCATATAGGTTATCCATGCCTTAGCAGATTGCTGTCATATTGTATCACCAAGCTGGTTTGATGAAACTGTGAAAGCTATTGAAGCACAAAAGACTCCTCCAATGCCAAAAATGTAATTACAATGTGTTGTCTGCTGAAATTTTGTTTCCTTAGCTGTAAAACTTCAACATTTAGTTAGTTAGTTGCATGGTTGGTGTGTTGAGCTGGCTGGATAGCTGGAGAGGTGACTAGTTGGTTAATTTTGGCTTCGCTGTAGTTTTACTGGTTGGTTGATGRCTTATTTGTTGGTTGATTGATTAGTTAACTGATCATCCCTTTGTTGGATAGTCCTTACTAGTATATATTTCTTTAGAAAATACGAACTTCTAATTGCTTTGGAGGAGTTTGAGTAAATTTAGTGGCCTTTTTGGAGTAAAATGACATCATCCTCAAAATCATTGAAAATGTGCATGACTTGAGTGACAGGTCAAGACTTCAAACTAGCTTTCAACTTTGTTCATAAATAAATTTTTTAGTGTACAAATTGAGAAATTCATCAAATTATATCTCCATATTTCGTTAGAATAAATCAAGTTCTAATTTTGTGATGCAGTCATGTTTACCAAAACATGATGCAGTCATGTTTACCAAAACATGACTTTTGAGTGACAGCACAAGACTTCAAACTGGCTTTCCCTGTCGTTTGCATAAATAAATTTTTTTCATGTTCACACTGAGGAATTCCTCGAACTATTTCGCCATATTTCGTTAGAATAAATCAAGTTCTAATTTTGTGATGCAGTTTTGAAGGAGTTAGAGTAAATTTAGTGGGCTTTTTTTGACGTAAAATGNTAGGGGTCAGTGATGATATCTTGGTCACTTTCTTGTAGTACCTTGAAACACGCCAACTTTCCTTTGCCAGCTCGCAGTTAATGCTACTGTATGAAGATGGTGCAACAGAAATTGAGATTCACTCAGACGTTTTTGTACTGTCCTTGAGAAGATACGCTGGATTGTGTGACGACATATCTTTTGTGACTGGAACCGGCCAACGCAGACGAAAGATCCAATTAAAGGCAATTGTCCAAGCTCTTGGCTCAGGAAAAACTGGACATTGCAAGGTTTTCATGCTTTGAGCGGAGCTGACAATACAGGAGCATTTCTGGCAAAGGAAAGTTGGCCTTCTAGGTACTACAAGAAAGTGATCAAGATATTATCACTGCCCTAGCAGCTCTTGGGACAACACAGTACCCATCTGAAGAAACCATCTTGGGAATTGAAAAATTTGTGTGTAAGCTGTATCTACCCAAACCAGCTGTCTCTAAAGTGCAGATGGATCATATTCAAGAATAAGCAGTCTTAATCTGAGCGGTTACCACCTACAGAATCAGCCCTGAAAGAATGCATCTTGAGTGCTCACTACCAAGCAATGGTATGCAGAGGCGGATCCAGCTTGTGGGTGCAGGGGGTGTGCACCCTCTCATGAGATCTATTTCTTTCAATACTTTCCTAAACTTGTATCTTCATGGTAATGATTTTTGTTGGGTGCACCCCATTCTGAGAGGCCCGCACCCCTCTCTGAGGAAAATCCTGGATCCTCCCCTGGGTATGGGAACTGCGATATCATCTGCAACCCAGAGCTACCATCACCTGAAGGCTATGGATGGCGGTTGGAGGAAAACACATGGGTACCAGTCCTGACCCCATTGCCGCCGCCCCCCGAAGCAATAAAATAAATCCAGTTGGTTATATGTGTCTGTGCTAACGACAAATGTAAAAACAATCGATGCCAATGCTGCAAAGCATTGAATTGACCTCTGTAAATGTTGTGATGATAGAGAAGTATGTGAAAACTTAATGTGACAAGAAACCAACAACGAAGATGACAGTGACATGAGAGTGATGGTCGATACATTTTCTACATATACCTTGATTTTATATATAATGTGTATTGAGCCCTCTTTAATGGGATCAGCTACTTCCTCATATGATCATACCTTGATTTTAAATTTCTTTTCATGTAAAAAAAGTCTTCTTTCCATAAGATTTTAAACAGTGATTTCAATATGCTTCAGCTAGTTTGAATAATGTTTATCAAACATTGTTTTGTCATTTCAAGTGATACAGTAATAGTTCTGAAACTTAGATTCATTTCATTTTACCGCCTCGTTTTCATGTTAAAATGGTCATATGACAACCTTTGCCTACAGTACTTGGTGTGTGTGTTAAAAGCATCCCAAATGCTAATTTAGGTGATTTTACAGGCACAAATGCCTTGAAACAACAGTATATATATCTGAGTATATGTGCACTTTAACGATTAGCCTCGTTGTCATRTTAATATGATCATGTGACCATTAACGCCTAATACTGTAGTTAACATGCTTGAAACATCCCAAGTACTAATTTAGGTGATTTTACTTCCAATACATGGCTTGGAACTACCGTTTATATGCACTTTAACTATTAGCCCCGTTTTCATTTGAAAATGGTCATGTGACCACCTTAACGCCTAATACTGCAGTCAACATGATCAAAGCATGGCAAGTGGTAATTTAGGTGATTTTACGCCCGATACATGGCTTGAAACAACCGTTTATATGCACTTAAGTTATCAGCCTCGTTTTCATGTTGAAAAATAATATAACAATAATTAAACTTTAATAAAAAGTCTCCAAACAAAATTCACGACTGTCAACAACACTTTTTAGCATCAGTAGGGTCTAATGAACATATCTAGACCATTGGCTTGCTTTCAGCAGAAAATTCTTACGGGACTATATTTTCAGACATATGCTGCTATGACTGGAAATCCTCGAACTACTTGAGTATATTTCTTTAAATTTGGGCCTGAAATGTTGTCATCCTGAAAATCCCCAAAGTCATTGAAAATGTGCATGTAGTTGAAGCTTTGAGTTACAGATGACGTATTGTATGATTGATTGTCTGTCTGACTGAGTTTAAATGATAACATCCAGTTTTTGTTTAGGTTTCTGCCTCCATTGAAAGAAGAAACCATCAAATCTGATGAACCACTTTTTCTTCCCGACCAAAATAGAAAAACACTCTTTGCTGGAAAAACGTTTTACTTTCTCAGCAGCAAACAGGTACAGGAGGACCACATTTTGTACTAACTATTCTAAAGAAGTAAGAGTCTAGTTTCCTGTTTCCTGTTTCTATCATTAGGTCTATTAGATTAAACCAAACTACTGCATCAACTTTGAGTATTCTTTAGTTGATATTATTCAGTAATAACTTTGATTTAAGAAATATATAAAACAGCGCGCGTGTCTCTGTCCTCTGATATAAACGCGGTGGGAGTTTTAAAACACAAGAGAAGCAAGCTTAGAAACGAGAGCTTTTCTCGTGCTTCTCGGGTGCTTTTTAACTCCCACGTGTCTCTGTCCTCTGATATAAACACGGTCTTCAGCCAATCAGAGCGCGCGTTATATATCAAAATTTGAAATGGGTTAGAGGCACCCTGTGACACTGTTTAAATATACTTTAAATATATTTTTCATTTAGTTCAAGAGAACCCATGAAGCAATCGAGATGTGTAGTGGGCAGACAATCCTTCTAGAGTTATCAAAGGGTTTAGAGTATGATAAACTATTGGTGAATGATGGCTCCTGCTTAATGATGTTGGAYCAGAAAGAGAGAGAAAATCTTCCTGCAGACAACAAAGAATGTGTTACTGAAATCATGGACTTCTTGAAAAGGTTTAAAAATGATTATTTTATTCAAAGTTCTCAAAGCAGCTGATCTGAAACGTTTGAAGATGATTTATAGGGTCAAAAACCATCCCATGTCAGTGACAGCCAATTTACAAAGAATGGCGTTTGTACTTTTTAAAAAGGTTATTCACAATGTATTTTTCATTATTTCTTTAGTAACAAAAAGAGGCCAATTCCTGAATCTGAGCTTGGTTTAGCAATCCTAGAGATGAATCTGGCTCACTACTGCAACKCAAACATTGACGCAGGTTGGTTGGTTGGTTGGAATACAATGTTAAAGTGAATAGTTGTTGCTGGGCTCATGATGATTTGAGTCAAAATTCCTTTTTCCTGAAATGATGTTGCACACATAGGGATGAACGTTTTGTTAAATGACCACAACGAAACGTTCAGGCATGAGCATCTTGAATAATAATTAAATAATGTTCGTTTTGTTTTACTTTTTATAGTGCCTGCCATCACACAGAATATTGTCTGTCAGTCACTCAACGTAGGACTGGATGAGATGTCACAGGTTTACTCTCCACAAGACAAAAAGCAAGACGCTCAGGTAGTCTGTAGTATGTCCATTGTGCAAAAATAAAACCTTCTGGAAAATTAGGAAATATACCTGTAAATGAACTGAACAGGACACGACTTCATTTTTTTCTGCACACACATGCTTAAATATATTCCATTGAACATTTGTCCATGTTTAATGAGATAATCGATTTTTAGCAGTTCAWAAAACCGTCTTCTTTAAATGGTCAAACTGACAGCAAGCCGGTTTTTCAGTCGGGGAGAAAAGATTCAGTGAAGACAGCACAAAGGTATGTCAGTAAATAAAGGAATGATACACGCAAAAGGTTATAATTTTGTCATTTTTTTCTCGGGAAGTCAGATAGAACTTCTCCTTGCTTTACATGCGAAAGGGAAAGATGAATGGAATACAAAAAGCTTCAACTTGTTGAACAACATTGTTATTGAGCAACGATATTTCGAGAAACACTGACACTAAACTAAACTTGAACAGCAACAGTGCTGCGCGAAAMGTTGAAGKTTTTTTTATCTTGTATTTTTCTTTCYCATTTTAGCACAATTACAAGTACTTTAACTCCAGCAAGATCAACAGAGCAACAAAAGGATAACAAAAGGAAAGTCTCAGTCACAGAAACTCCTGAARGCGCAATGAAATCGGACAAACCCAAAGAAATACAGAAAGTCAGTCCAATTCCTGAAACTATGAACATCAGCGATGATGGAAATGTTTTTGTCTCGGAAACACCTTCCAGGAAATCTTCAAAGTCTGACATAACTTCGTTTTTCGTAACGAATAAAAACAGAAAAGAAGTTAGGTCCGATAGCTTAAGTTTTGATCATTCAAATGTAAGTGAAAAAGAAATGACTGCCAAGCAAACAGGTAAGATTAACCTTCAAAATARCAAGAAAGATRAAGSAATTGTGCCCGATAGTTTAGGTTTTGAAGMAAGTGAAATTRAATCAGCAAAGAAAAACCAAGGAGTTGCAAAGATGAGCAGTTTGMAAAAAGACGCCAAAMAGCMARCTGTCGTTCCTGACAGCTTAAGGCCAAGCACAAGCRATCCAGAAAGTCCTCCCAAAGAARCATTTAACTTTCTTGYTTCMAAAAGAGACAAGAGTTTCAAAAGAATGATTCCTGATAGCTTAGGCTTGGATTCGGAGACTAATGACTTCAATACCGAGCAAACTAGCACGCGGAAGGAGTCGAAAAGCGAACAAGTTGCGATTCCAGACAGTATGGGAATGGATGAGAGYTACGAGGAAGGCACTCGTTCAGAAATGTTCATCACCGCAAGCTCCGAAACAACAGGAACTCCAATGAAAAGAAGAAGAATGACTGAAGATGAGAAAGATTTAGAAAAGCTTCCTGTCAAACGGATGAAAAACACGACGGGAGAATTGGATAAAAATGATTGGTATACAAATCCAGGTAGAAAAGAAGAAAACTTTATCCCAAGTAGTGATATCAATAAGCCAGGTATTAGCACAAGGACCGATGTGTCATCTGAACATGAAATAAGGACAGCACAACCAGATGGATTCTTGTCAGCAAGAGTATCAKTGAAGGTGAGCTTGCTCCTTGGGAGTCCAGTGGAGCCCCCTACCAGTTTAATTCTAAAACTTGCAAATAGTTGAAAGATCTGTTCGGCTGAGAGAACGAAAAAAGAAAATTGCRGAATATTGGCTGGTAATTACGTTGTGCAAAATCCTTCTGCGCAAATTCGTACGAAATGTTTCACGCGTATAAACAATAAACGCTTTCTGGCGTCGACCATAAACTAGAGTCGATCCAATCCCATCCTAAACTAAGTCAAACCTCTGTTTTATTTAGCCAAACCTCCCTGCAGTCAGAAAACCAGTCACATCGAGCGTTGTAAGCGAAGAAGATTTCAATGAAGATGATYTACCGAGAAATTTAATAGTTGTGGATGTTGTATCTCTTGTTGTTCGTAAACCTGGTGGTAAGAAAACTGCTCCAGTGACTGAGGYTCGTGGCAAAAACTTCAAAAAGTTTAAAAAGGTATGCTCCACTACTGCTAAAGCAAAGYTTTACCACGACATTTTTGAGTTCTTTTATTCAAAAGTCGCAAAATCATCAAAAATCAAAAATCACACAAAAATCAGTTCTGCAACATTGGGGCGCATTTGCATTGCACATCTTTTTCGCGCGCGCTTTCACCAAGATATGTTTCCAAATATATCTTTTTTCAATGTTTTTGGACCTATTGAAATGTTTTTCATTCGTCGTATTTAGCAATGGTACGCAGGATGCGATAGACGATTCCCTAAAATCATTGGTGGTAATGATCTGGTGGTTCATCAAGCGCTGTCTAATTTGGAGCACGAAGATTGGTTCATCGAGGCTAGGGAGGTATGCTGTTGAATATGATGAAATTCCTTGTCTGCCTGACTTTGTTTTGATGGTTTTGTCTCTCAATTCCGTAATAGGCAAGTCAAGAACAAGAAAGAAGAGACCGAATGGAAGCGGAGCTATTCATGTAAGGCATCTTTTGATGTAATTTCGCTGCAATGAAAGATAGTCGTCAATWATATTTAACTACATCCATTCTTCATTCACAGGTCTGATGCTGGGCTTCCACAAAGACGGCGAAAAGCTAGATAGACTTTGTTAAGGACCATTGAATTAACGTTGGTTAATATATTAGTGTAAAACGGTTGCTTCTTTTTTGGTATTATAAGAAAACCTTTATTCTTGGTCTCCATGTGTCCACTTCGACTTTTCAGACCAAAAATAGCGGGAAATTCAAATGGTGCGCGTGTCATCCGAATTTTAACAGGAAAAAGGCGGGAAAAGTGTAACATATCCGGAAATCCAAGAAAAACCTATCGGTGTCGCGCAAAACATTTGACAATTTTTTCATTATTTTCGAAAATTTTGAACAGATGGAAAGTGTTTCAGGTTGCCTTGAATGAGCTATTAAAGACGTTTTATTCTGATTTCACTGACTGAAAGTCATCGAAGGTCGTATGAAAATTACTCCTTATAGATTAGATAGATTTGTATTGATTTATACCTATCATATTAGTATTATCTTTATTAAAATAGTTTTGTTTCGATTATGTCGTACTATTTTTTGCCTCAACTTAGTAAGTATTACCACCTGTTGTTTCTTTTAATGTAATCTGTAACGTTTCGCGCCTTTTTGTAAAKGCAGTCATCCAATCGAATCAGACGTTGCGTGAAATCGATCCATATTTGCTTTGTTCTCAAATAACTGAAAAGTCAAAGGTTGRCAAGGGACGTTKYATTAACTTTCAGGAGAAGAAGTGTTCTTGCAAAGGACTGAAAGTCAAGCCTGATCTCGACGTCAGCAAGGAGGTACAAATATGAGTGGAAATTATAGYAGCTTTAAGTATTTTGAGTATCAATTCTTGACAAATGACATAAATCAGGAGCGCACTATGAATTTACGATTAGATACTTGCAGATAAACTTGTGTACAAGCATAAATATTTTATACGCTAAGCAACACAAATAACTTGTGGCTTCGTGTGATTAAATACACCTTATTGCATTGTTTAAAGYGTAKTTGGGCTTTTTATGTAGCCTTAGGCGAAATTTTAGAATGTTTTYTTAATGTCTGTYGTGCAACTCTATATCATCGTATCAATGATACCATTAATTCATCTCTGTAGTTTATTTAATATCATGCAAACTGAACAAAGTTCATCKGAAGTCAATCACAATCCCRAATCCACCAATTCTCCAGATGAAGAGATTTCTCTTCGGCGTGTACTCGGGCTTCCTGGAGCATCGTCCATAGTAGTTGGTGGGATTATTGGATCGGGTATTTTYGTATCAGCGCGGTGGGTTGTGGTATACAGTGGGTCTGTTGGGCTGGCRCTGTGCATTTGGTTTTTGTGCGGTTTGGTTTCATTCATTGGCGGACTGTGTTGGGTGGAACTGGCGCTGACTTTCCCAAAGTGCGGAGGTATAACATCAATATTGATTATTAAATGATTGTTATTATATGTTGTTATTAGGAATTACCAACATACAGTCAACTCTCGCTATTACGGACACCCTCGGGACCGTAATTTAGTGTCCGCAGTAGCAAGAGTCCGCAATAACAGGAGTAACAGTAGTTACTTTCATTCATTTCTTTGTATTTTTTTGCCAGGGATTCATTATTTCGTATCCGTAATATCGAGGTGTCCGTAATAGCGGGGTGTCCGTAAGGCGGAAGATTTACTCCCTGATAGATTTCTCTAATTACGGGAGGGAGATTCAGCATTTGATCTTAAAGTTTGCGAGTGGGGGGAGGGGAGGGGGGGGGGCTTCCCTATAAAACATGGTAGGTATCGGTTATCACAGGTGCCAGTGCCGACTTAAATATAAATGAGGTCAGCAGCGTTCACTACCTCTGCAGGTAGAAGGTTCCAGGTACGGATAGTTCTTGGAAAGAGCGAGTAGTTAAAGGACAATAATATATTTGCCTGCAACTGCTGTTAACGGTCCGGGAGTGTCTTCTTGAGCTTCGAATGCTCTAGTGTACATGTTTTATTTAGTAGTTTATCATCGGAGCAATGTTGAAGTCTCTTTGAAGATCGCCACTTGGAATGCCATCGGTTGCACAGGGAGTATTTATCGAGGCACAGCTTTGAGAGCGCCAAGTATGCGATGCAGTTCTTTCACAGCTGAATGTAAATCATGGATGCTTTGATGTAATTAAAGGTCGTTTTTCTTTATACCTCTACATAAAAGTTTGCTCCTTGTTTCTGCGTCTTGCTTGTTGATTGTTTCTATCTATTTGGCTACCTGTTTTGAGATTATTTTCGTCTGGCCCATATGTATGAAGCTTTCAATTCAATGATTTGGCGATAAACATAATTGTGATTTGTAAATCAGCCTTGTCATGAATAGCGCAACGGGGAGAGAGGACTGGGATATGGGAACATGGCAGAAGAGGAAAAAGTAGAACGTTCCYTTATTTCCTTCCTTTCCTCCGTCGCGTCATTGCGCAGGAAATCAAATTTACATCAAATTTAAATAATTTTGGACACTGACATATCATATTTACATCAAATTTACAACCTTTTAAAGGGCGCGATTTTTTTTCTTTATTGAACAAATACACACAAAAAAACATCACGTTTTACCACTTATTTACAATTAACTAGAGGCACACTAAGTATCATCATTATCATAATGCATCCCTAGATTTACTATATATAAGTTTGTTTTTCATTTACATTTACATGTCAAGTGAGGGGCACACTAGGTTTAATTCGCTTCTTTAGATTTACTATGATTTTCAATATTGCCGTGGTAACACACAGTACTTGAAAAGATCAATAGAGGAAAAAAAAAACAATTGAAAACAACTGCACCAGTATGGTTTTTACTAAGTATGATGGAGCGACTTTTTAATCCAGTGCTTATGCTTGTTGTAACCGTTTGTTCTTTCAAATTAGGTTCGTACATTCTCATAAAGGAAACACTTGGTCCAGTCCTTGCTTTCTCGTGTGTTTGGGTGAGATTTATCGTCGTGTATCCCGCAGCAACGACGATCATCATGCTGACATTTGCATCTTATTTGATTGAACCAATATTCCCTGGATGCGCGGATCGTGAGGACCTACAGCCTCTCATCAAGTTAATTGGGGCTTGCGCTACCTGTGAGTATAGAACAGTGGTACCTTTATTAAGCGGTCACCCTCTATTAAACGACCACAATACATAGCTGCAAGTTGTTTTCCGACCATAATGCCTCAGCATCCCAAGTCCCGAGGTTGACCGTTTAACTTAGGCAACACTATATACGAAGCAAAACTAAAGCTAATTATAAAGACTAGCTAACGTAAAGTTAATACCCGAGTTTTAAGCCATGTGGGATAGACTTCAAAATCATATAAGAGCATGCGCAAAAGTAATATCTTTTCATTATATTTTGTTAAATAATTTTCTTCTTAGGTACTTTCTGTCTTCTAAACTGCCTTAGTGCTACTTGGGCAGCAAGGGTCCAGGTCATATTTACAGCAGGGAAAATCATCGCTTTAGTCACATTTACTGTCACTGGATTTGCTTGGATTGCCARAGGTACTCATTTCTAACGGCATTTGGAGGGAGATAACCTTAGAACATGTCAAATCGCGATCACTGATAACCTATTTAATATTTCTATAGGAAATACAGCTAATTTTAGTGAYACATTCAAAGGATCGACGTCTGAAATAGGAATGATTGCCTTGGCTTTTCAAAGTGGRCTTTGGGCTTATGAAGGATGGTGAGAACACWTCATTTCTAAAAGCCATTGAACATGTGGTAATGAWTTTTTTCCTTTCGTTTAACTTAACTTGTCTTTTTGATAGGGATGCTTTGCCTGATATTACAGAGGAGGTCAAACGGCCGACCAGGTAAGTTCACAATCATCTCCAGTAGCTTCCGATATTAAAAAGAAGAAACGTCCAGATGAAATTACCACTTTTGAGGTTCCTAATGAGACCTGGGATGTTTTTGGTAGTAGGAAAAAAGCACTAACCCGTGGCAAAGTCGAGTTCTCAATCTTTGAAATAACAGAGACCTGGGATGTTTTTGGTAGTAGGAAAAAAGCACTAACCCGTGGCAAAGTCGAGTTCTCAATCTTTGAAATAACAGAACGTAAATACTTCTTTGAGTAATCGTCATCAGTTTATGTAGAATTTACAGAGTATCCATGAGAATCGAGCAATAAAATTTGGGGAAATGGTAACAAACACAAACACGTGGCAAAGTCGAGTTCTCGATTTTTGAAAATATAACTAATTAAGTCCTTTTCTCAAAGGAACATGCCATGGGCCATTATTGGTGGAGTCGCGTTTGTAACGTGTGCTTACCTTCTTGTAAACGTGGCATACATTGCTGTTTTATCCCCAGAAGTTCTAAAAAGTTCTCCAGCTACTGCTGTGGTAGGTTATTAAGTAGCAATCACACAAAAAATCATAGTGTATAAACTGCAAAACCTTTTTTTATAGGCCTTTGGATATTATGCTTATAGCCCTGCTGTGGCTAGAATYATTCCACTCCTTGTCGCCTTTTCTGTGTTTGGTTCCATCAATGGGATTTTGTTTACTTACGGAGGGTAAGTCAGTGCTTTCGTACCAAGGTCGGTATCCACGACTCGTACCCCTGCGCCTGGCCCTGAAGGCGTCTATCTTTCATATCTGGTGTCGCGTTTGTAGTGTGCAATCAAAGTGTTATCTTAAAGAATCACAACCAACCGCCGTACCTTGCGAGCCGAAGCGCCATTTTAGGTGGACACGAAAATGGCGGATTCGTAGGATTTCTTAAAGTGAGCGCGAATCGTCTTCCATCCTTTCAGTTTGGACAGAAATACCTTTAACTAAGTACCTCACAGGTACTATCAATCTATAATCTATCGCATGCTTGACGCATTTAAACGTATGTAAACAATAATACGAGCGCGCAAGGTACGGCGGTTGGTCATGATTCTTTAAAGTCCCTTTTTAATTTTTGCGTACTCCCCAGTGATATGCAATGGACGGCACTGAAGTACATAGAACTCCTTACTTGATATCTTTTACGAAAGTTCTCTCCATTGATCCAATGAATTTCAATGTAGTTTGTAGAGTATATTTATGTCTTTACAGAGTGATGTTTTCGGCTGCACGTGAAGGTCACATGCCAAGTTTCATGGCAACCATCCACAAGACCAAAAGAACTCCTATATTCGCAATGTGCTTTAGGGTAATGTATTGGAGACAGAGAATGCAAGGGAGGGGAGGGTGCAACATGCGTATGCTTCTTCTCTAAGAAAATAACTGTGGCGTACATTTATATTTTGTTACAGACAATCTTGGGATGTTTGTTGCTAATTCCTGACAAGAGTACCATCAAGACTTTGATAAGTCTACACAGCACTGGTGAATGGATAACSTACATTCTCGTCATTATTGGTTTGCTGTGGACACGATACAGAAAACCCGAACTAAAAAGACCTTTTAAGGTAATTTTAATAATGAATGTCCAGAGAGAAGAGAGGGAGGGAGGGAGATGGAAGTAGGGAAGGGAATGGAAGGAGGGGAAGGGTTTGCGTCCTACTTATCTCACTGGTGATTCTTTTTATTCTTTTAGATGCCTATCGCCATTCCTGTCYTCTTCTTGTTGATCTCGCTTTACATGATCATCGTCCCTTTCTTCAAGGCACCACTCGAGTCCTCCATCTCCGTACTTCTCATTCTCACTGGGCTTCCTGTGTACTATTTCTGTATTTATTTAAAAGCCACACCCAAGTATATTTTGAGATTACTTGGTAAGAGTCTCTATTCATCCTTCTTGGTATACATCTCTTCTTTAGTCCTTATTTTTTCAATATTCTTTCATTTATTTGTTCAGGTTTCCTTTTATTCCACCTTTCCTAACAGCGTCTAAACTTTTTCCATTTCTCTAAGTCTTTATTCCTTTTGTTTCTTGCTTCTTTCGTCCTTTGTAGGCCTTGGTAATCCAACAATCACTGTACTTCCTCTGTCATTCATTCTTTCTTCCTCTCCCTTTCTCTTCCTATCCTCTCCTTCCTCTTTCTCCCTTCTTCCCTTCGTTCCCTTCCAATTTTTCAATCTAACTATCAATCAATCAGTGAATTCGCTTCAAACACTGGACGAAGATCATTAATACAACTAATACAATTTTAATATTTATACTCCAAAGGTTGGATTTCATTCAAGAGTCAGCAAGTTTTCAATGTCCGATATCCAACAACGATAACGACAGAATAAACAAGACATTCGTATGAATTTCTATTCTTTATTTTACAGTCAATTTAAAATCTAAAATAAAGTCAAGCTGCTGTAATTCATTGTTTTTTTTGTTTTTTGTTTTGTTTTGTTTTGTTGTTTTTTTTTGTTTTGTTTTTTTTTTTGCTTGGTTAATTGTTGTCATTTTTCGCTTACAGCGTTTGCGCAAGTAAAGAATTCCTTCCAATCTTCCCAGCTCTTTGTATATCTAGAGAAAACATGCGCAGAATGAGCTATTCAGTGCAGTATATCTTCATCTCGGTCTACTACAGCGATTGATTACATGTAGGACATGTCTKTAAGCGTTTTTGATCTTGTTCGTATGCTTTACCAGTCAAAGGTCTCGCACCAGTYCTTGGTAGCCTGGAAATGACCGTGTAGTAATTAGAGCCTGRAAGTGACAATGCTCTGCCACGATTCATTAGCAGAATTTTGTGTCCRYKGCAACGGTCTGTTTTGATGGCCTTTTTAAAGTCAGGGCTTTGTATAAGTAAGTTGATTTCTCCTTTAGTTGGTGCGGCGAAACTTGCTGTTGGTCTGTCTTGATGTTTTCGATGAAGGAGCAATCTGTGATAACATTGATAATAGTATAGTTAGAATCTGGACATCAATGAAAAAGAAGCGACGTTATGGAATGCACGGACGAAAATTAGCTTAAGAACAGGGACAAGAAAATTGGGATATATGAAGGAACAATCTGTGATAACATTGATAATAGTAATTTGGACATCAATGAAAACGTAGCGACGTTGATGGAATAGATACAATGGAGGGGCGAAAATTAGCTTTAGAACCAGAAAGAAGACATAACAAGACACAGAAAAGAACAGGGACGAGGAAAGTGGGACATAGGTAAGAAGGGACCTCAAGGAACGAATCACGCATATACATAATGGCAGGACATGAAAGAAGTAAACTGAAAATAAGGACCCTCACAGGGACATAAACGAACAGGGACAAGCAATTAAATTGGGACATGCAGGAGGTAAGGAAGGTACAASGAACGGAACACGCATGTACATAATGGCAGGACATAAAAGAAGTGAACTGGAATATGGACCCTCTCAGGGACATAAACAAGCAGGGACGAGGAAAGAGATGTAGGAAGGACATGGGCCAAACGGGACAAGGGGTAAGAACCCGGACACTATGGACCAAAGGGTCTAAAACATGCAAGTGCTAAAAAAGACCCAAGTAAGGAATGGGACTTTAATTAAGGAAGAAACAGGAATAAGAAATAAACAGGTAAAGAGATATGGACAAGGAAATCAAGATAATGTTATCCCAATGACAAAAAGGCTTACGGGCAAAATGGAAACTACAGGGRCCGACAAGCACGGATGATTAGTGATGAAAAGGCGAGAATAAAGAAGTGTCAGTCGTCACGGAAGAGCAAGAACAGAAACGACTCAAAGGGAAAAGAAACGAACTTGGGGAAAGTATATTTGAGCACGTACAAACAGCAACGTTTACCTGTTTTCATTTAATTGCCTTGATAAAGTCCGAACAAGGTGCGTTTCATTTGCTCGGTCATCTGGAGATTCCAGATTGCTGTCCAACCAAAGTAACTCGATTGCGTCTGTTTTTAATGGTACATGACTGGGAAATAAACAAGTACTATCATCTTTATCAACGTTAGGCAAGTCTTGGACAACACCACTATCAAACTCGCTGCATTTGTCGTTAAGTGATTGTTCGTCACTTGTTGGTGTAACTGGAGTTCTGGTTGTTCGAATTTGAACCTTGGTAATAAACTGAACAGTCTTTTCGTGAGGCGGCGCCTCCAAGCTTCTAGTGGTAGTGTACTTTGCCYGCAAAGTCTTCTTATTACGCTCATATTCGCTATTTTTCTTCTGGAACTCGATKCGGTTGCATGTGAATAGCTTGGATCGTTTTGCAGCTTCATCTGGAGGGATTGGCATGAAATGGGTCCTCATACGTGGTGGTCCAGATGACGCTCTTGAAATRTGTTCCTTTKTAGTTTCCATGTATAACTGCACAGTGACGGCATATGCTAAAAAAWTTTAGTTAAGGATAGTTTTAAGGATAATTTTAAAAGTTAGTSTGGACAAATAATACTGTACGTCAACGGAGACTTCATTGAWTCGAGTWCAAGATAACAGATATCGTGAAAATTTTTACCGCAGGTGAAAATTCTCAAATTTTCATATAAATCAACATAGAAAAATGGAAGAGTTATATTCCTTTTTTATTGAAAACCATATTCAAGTACGTATATCGTGGGGATTTTCACGACTATAGAATTACAATTTTTTCGCCGTAGTTGCTTAGCAACCTTCAGAAGTTAAAAATCTGCTCAAGTGGTTAAAAATATATTCAGTAAACAGAGAGATAAGGTATCGAAAGTACTTAAATATCGTCAAACAAAACACTCCTCACCCTCCTCACCTAACAAGAAAAGCTCTTGAAGGCAATAAATATGATACGTGATTCTTGTGTATGTGTAAATGGTTGATATCGAAATCTCGTTTAACTTTATTAGTATTACTGCAACTGAAATATTCGACTTTTCATTTCGCTTGAAAGTGAAATAATATAAAATTCAATTTCAGTGAAAATACACTGACTTTAAATGCATAAAGGAACTGAAAGCGATGTTGAATTAGTCGATGTATTTAGCTTTCGTAGCCTTTGGCACGGAAGATCATAAACAGCGCGATGTTCTATCATTTTATAAGCCAATGCAAACATTAGAACCAAATTTTAAAACTGTCTTAAAGTAAACACGAACTACTTACATCAGATGAAAAGAGATATAAAGTACAAATACCTCACGTCTTAGTTAACAATGAAGACAGTAAATTCCGAGCAGCGTTTGTCTTCTTGCAGTCATTAATATGAAATGATGGCCAGGTGCATTGGTAACTTATAAATTAAACAATTTATTTCTGGCTCTGCCTACTATACAGGGAAACTGCCTATGTCGCAATAAGGGAAGAAAAATGTTTTATCATTCTCAGCGTGGAATATGTTTTTCAAAACTATTATTGTTGAAAATACAGAGAGAGGAAATATGAATTAATTTAAGCAGACCGGCAGAAATGCGTTCCAAAAAGGTTAATCACCCTGACTTTTGTTAATTTTTCCTTTAGAAATGAAGGTGTAAAAATTAGATTTTGAACTGTTTCTCACTTTCTCATGCATCTTTTTACTTTCTCACAGTTCTTTCCTTATATACGTATACGTTCTACGTATGCTGTCTCATTTCTTCTTTTGCCTTATTCTTTTCATTTTCCCCTTTCTGTTTTTCATTCGCTTCTTCATTCTTTCTTCAAATGTCTTTTTCCTTTTTGCCGATGCCCCTTTTCTCTATAAGAGTTCCTGTTTTCCTTCCGACTCTTCCGAGTTTCTTCTGATGCCACCGCCAGGTATTTACATTGCTCTAAGCAGGCCACGAGGCATATATGATGATAATCAAACTTCTAGTAAACGAAAGAGAAAAGGAATAATGCTGCTTCTTGCACCTTGTGGATCTTGGCATGGCATTCACTATCTGTTGCTGGCAAAACATATACATAAAAACTGCATTAAAACTGGCTTTTTAAAACTCCAACAAAGTTTGACCCTGTAAAAACAAAAACARCTATCAACATTTTGAAGTCACATTTATAAAAAGCCTGCTTCCATAGAAACAGTGACGCAAATARCGTGCACTCCTGGACAAATATATGGCGTTTTCCTGTTGACAATCGAAATGTCTAGTAGTTAACATTTCGGACTTATAATTCCCTTGCTTTTTATAGTACAACTGTTGAATTTTTCAGTGCGTAGGTAGATAGGCATCATCAAASGTCTCGAGTGACATGGCCACCGTCTACGACGTAAAATGGTGGTTTTAAAAATGTCTTTTCATGAAGTCACTAGCGGCTGCCCACAAAAAAAGTCCGCCCACAACTAATACGTGGGCTATACTTGAGAAAAATCAATAAGAAAAAGTAGTCACTTTGTCGGCGCATGCTCGGGAAATCCTCGTGGGCAGTCGACACTGTAGTCATAACAACAGTGTTGCATCAGCCGGTGTTTGAGAACGAGGCYGGTGACTTGATTGTTGTAGTATTCGGTACCGGTCTTTGTTTTAGAAATCGCGAGTCACATGATTATTTGGCAATCATTACAAACGTAACGAGGATTTAAC